GTGAAAACACAAAGAGGATGTAGGATCTCCTGGGACTGGAGTTAGAGAAGATTGTTAGCAACCATGGGACTGCTGGGAATCAAACTCAAGTCCTCAGGAAGAGCATCTAGTGTTCTTTTTTTTTTTCCTGTAAACAATTTCTTTTATTCATTTTACATACCAACCATAGTTCCCCCTCTCATCCCTCCTCCTGCCCCCCACCCCCGCCAGCCTCCACACCCTGACCCAACCCCCACCCCCTTCTCCAAAAGGGTAAGGCCTCCTATGGGGAGTCAGCAAAGCCTAGTAAGGACCAAGCCCCTCCCCTCTGCGTCAAGGTTGAGCAAGGTGTCCCACCATAGGTATTGGGCTCCAGAAAGTCAGCTCATGCACCAGGGACAGGTCCTGATCCCACTGCCCGGGGCCCCTTAGACAGACCAAACTATGAAACTATCTCCCACATGCAGAAGACCTAGTTCAGTCCCATGCAGGTTCTACAGCTGTTGGTCTAAAGTTTGTGAGTTTCTATAAGCTTGCTTCAGTTGTCTCTGTAGATTTTTCCATCATGATCTTGATGCCCACTTGCTCATAGAATCCCTCCTCCCTGTCTTTGACTGGATCCCTGGAGTTTGGCCTTGTGCTTGGCTGTGGATCTCTGCATCTGCTTCCATCAGTTACTGGATGAAGGTTCTATGATGACAGTTAGGGTATTCACCAATCGGATTACTGGGGTAGACCAGTTCAGGTACCCTCTCCACTATTGCTAGTAGTCTAATCTAGGGTCATCCATTGTTCTTAACCTACATAGTCTTTCCAGCCCCTAGATTTATAGATTTTTGTTAAGCAAGTGAGCCTTTCCTCTTAAAACTCAGATCACATTATTTACTTTTTGTTTGTTTGTTTACTTATTTTTATTGTTATTCTGTGGGTAACTTTTGGCAGTATTGAAAAATCACTCACTGAACTAATGCAAGGTTAAAATCTGGGATAGTAGTATTGTGGTAGACAAAACAATACCTCTGAAAATTTACACCATAATCGCTGAGACACATCAATGTGTGGCATTACTACCAGAAGCAACCTTACAGATGTGGTAAGTTAACACCTGAGGTTGAGAGATTGTCCTAAGTTAGACTAAAACAATCAGATAGCAACATAAAATTCTCAGTGTGATGTGGCTAGCTTTGAAGGTGGAGAAATGTAGGTAGAAGTTTCTGTCCCACCAGCAATTCCCAAGTACCTAGCAGCTGCTTCCCAAATAATTGACTCAGAGACTTATATTAACTGGTAAGCCACAGGCCACATAGTGATACATATACTAATAGAAATAGGTTAATTTAAATGTAAGAGCTAGTCGGTAATAAGCCTGAGTCATTGGCCAACCACTTATAGTTAATAAAAGCCTCTGGGTGATTATTTAAAAGTGGCTATGGGATGGGGCAGGACAGAGAAAAGTCTCTGGTTATATGTGGTGTCAGTCTGGTTAGAGAGAAATGAAGAAAAAGATCAAGGGTAGAATCTGAAAAATGCAAATGAAACTTTTCTAAGTCTAATTTGCTGAAAGCAACCTGCTAATACATTTATTTTCATCCAGTGAGATCTCTATTGGACTTCTGGTTTGCAAATAAGTGAATTATTGTGTTGGTTTGTTTATATTTAATTTTACTTTTTATGTATGTGTACGTGTATAAATCTGTGTGTGTATGTGCAATTCTACGCTGGTGCTAGGGGAGTCCAGGAGAAAGCAGTGGAGTCCCTAGAGCTGTGGTCATAGGAGGTTGTGGGCCATCTCACATATTTTGGGAATTGAACTTTCGTCTTCTGGAATAAATCGCAGCAAGCTTTCTTAACTACCAAAGCTGCTGGACTTGTGATGATATGTGATAGTAGTAACAGAGAATTTAGTAACACTTTAACTAAAGAAGGTAATTAAATTATTAAACTATCTGGAGAAAATTATTAGTTCACATGAAATGTGATCTTTTGATGTTCCAACTCATTGAAATTTATCAGAAGTTTATTATACCATATTAATCATAGCCAATAAAGTAACAATTGGCTGCAAAATCCCAAAAGCATGTAACAGAAAAAAAAAAGTTGTATTACTCATGCTCTGTGCAGGTCATGGCTGAGTTAGGAATCTGTATCATGGACTATCCAGTCTTCTCATTCAGGGAACTAAGGGAATATCAGCTTTTCCCATAAAACATGCACATTTACATTGCTAGAAAATTACCATGTTGTATTAGATTCAACTCAAATTCAATTAATGCAAACTATAATTTTTATGTACATGAATATATAAGTCACTTTTTTTCTTCTGGTTTCAATTGAACACGTGAAGTGAGATCTTCCTAGATCTACTTAATAGTAAATACTAAAATTAAGAGAATAGCAGAATGACAAAAAGAAATCACTGCTTTGCTGAAGGAAATTGCTGATATTCCCTAACTCCTCTGTGTAATCTTCTGACCAAAATACAAAAGAAATGATCACTGATCACTGAAGTATGATAAACATCACAGAATAAAGGTAATTATTCAGATTTACATTTGTTTCATGTTTTAAGTCTACAAAGGAACCACAATAAGTCTGGAAACTGGCAGGCTATCCTTTTTTGAAATGAGGTACTTCTCGAATCATACACATTTCATTGCCTTCATACTTTTAAGTTCCTGAGTAATCCACTACTAAAAGTCAAAAGAGAAAAATAACTGTTCTCAGGGAGCAGTTACATGCATTATATTCATGGATTACTGTAAAACTTTATCACCACTGCTGTTGGGTGTGAACTACTTTTCATGACAATCCCTTCACCCTGTCTGGAACAATACTATGAAGATAAATAGGATTTGAAACAGAGTACTATTTGTTGGTTTAAACACCCTGCATATTTTACTTCCTCATCCAGCTGAATGTCTTGAAAACAGAGGAAGAACAACGGGAAGACGAGAATTCAAATATGAATTACATATGGCATCTAGTTCTCACTGCATAGCCACAATACTAAGATCCCATTTCTAAGTATCTTCTAAAAATTCTACTTGAGTTTGAGGATGCAATGTATTGTGCATCACTCTGATGATGAGGCAAAGTCAATTTAGTGGGACAAAGTGTAAGATGCTCTGGAGCCACTGTCATTTCTAAAGCCATAAATCAAGATAATGCAGCTGTCTAGATGTGATAGAGGGAAGAATGAGGCTGCCAACCTAGTATGCCACAGATTAATAGGATCATATTGTTGAGTCAAATGTAAATTGGCATAGAATTCATCTAAAAACAATTGAAATGCAATACTGACAGTTTAAGGGATGTTAACCATGGGTGTGATTCTGCAAAGGGACAATGTAGACATCTCCCTTCTAGAAGTAGGAAAATTACTTTTAAGTGAACACTTTCATTACTTTGAGATGAAGTTGTCTTTAGAGATAGAATGAGTGTTATGAAAGGTTTGTGGATCTCCAGTTGTCAGCTTTAATCTACCTTTGCATATCTGTGTCTGTGTGACCTGAGATGTGAGAACCTGAATGAATGGAGTAGGCTATAGTCTAATGCTGTAGACAACCTTACTTCAGTTTCAGTGTACGTTTGTACACAAATGTAAAAGAAAACAATGATCCAAGGAAGGTTGTTTGAGTTCAGAAAAATGTGGTAGAAAAAGAACATGATCAGAAAAACATGTCAATAAATGCCAGTAAGCACATACTAAATATTGACAGAGCAGCCCCTCCCCAGAATTTTCTCAGGACAGACCAATTTAAACACAATGCCTGGCATGTACTACAGATTATATCTGGAAAATCAGGAAAGTTTACGGCAGAAGGCTATATCCAGATTCAGAGTACACTGAGAATAGCACTCAGCATACCCTTTCCAGATTGGGTTCTAAGGCTATGTTCTGACATCCAAGAAGGATCAACATGTCTTATAAATTGAATGCAAATATTTGTTGCATGAGGAATAAAAACACATCTAAGAACAATCCAGGGAACAAAACGCATCTGAGGTAAAAGGCTTCTGCCTTTTCTTTCCTACAGCCTCTCTCACAGTTTTCCAAAGCATTGTTCACTATGGGTCATTTTTTTGAGAATGTTCCAACACCAACATCAAATGTTCAAGATATTTTCCCAAAGTGAGCAATATTACAAATGTAATATTGCACTAAATAAAATCTATGATAGCTAATTCATTGAAAATCAAGAAATCAAATGTCTGGTGATGATACAGTTCTGAAATACTGAACATGTCTGGAAAAAATACTATAGTATTTGGAGGGACATTACTTTCTAACCTAATAGTATTCCAAGAACGATTTATTATGTAAGGAGAGCGAAAGCACACTTAGGATTGAATGAAATAATCAAGAACAACTGTTTGTTTGTTTGTTTGTTACATATCGACAAGTCCCAAAGTAGCTCTTACTTTCTAATATGTTATTGCATACAGAAGTCATAGGTAACACTGTTTAGAAAATTCCATTGTTGTGTCTTAAATAGCCATATCAAATCCATGTATCTATAGAAAAACTCTGGTAAATTCAATCATGGTATGTCACTCTAAACTCTGTGGAACTTACTGTTTCTAGGGAAACAAGTAGCCCAAGTTTAAATTTCTATCTTTACTTTTCAGGCCATTTGGATCTGTTTTATACCCTGTCGTGTTTATTACTAAGTTTTATATTGCACTATTGATATTGACTTGATATGTTGGGGATAAACTAGAAAGATTGTGGTTTAAAAGCAATGCATTAGTGTGTCAAGTTGAAAAGGGAACAATTATCCTTTTCCTTTCCTTTGTTAATACAAAACAAGCTAAAGTTATCAGGGAAGAGGGACTCCACTTGAGAAAATGTTTGTATCAAATTTCCATAGACTAATTTGGAAAGCATTTTCTTGATTCATAATAGATGCGGGAAGGTCTATCACACTGTGGTTGGTGCCACCTCACGGCAGGTGGTCCTAGACTGTATAAGAAAAATGAGGAACAAACAAAGATGAGCAAACAAATTGACATTGTTTATCTATGCCATCTGCTTCAGTTCCTGTGTCCATGTTCCTGCCTTGACTTCCTTCCCTGACTTCACTCAATGATAAGCAAGCTGTATGACGAAGTCCTTTCCTCGCCAAGTTGTTTTTTGGTCATGGCCTTCATTATAGTAACAGAAAGCAAACTAAGACACCACTGATATCCTCAGATTCAAAATGATGTCAGTGAAAGACAAGGTAAGAACTTAATGACTTGACCTTCAGGCAGCTTTTCAGCCACTGTGTGTTTTGTACGACTTCTGTATATTTCTATATTCCAGATAAGTATGCATACAACATGGATACTGTGTGTTAGAATTAACAAGTCATTCCTGACAGTAATATGAAAATGTTACTTTTATTGGAAAATGATAAAATATTTTGTAATGCTAATTAACATATAGTATAAAAATATTAGTCTAATAGCTTTGTCAGAAAAAAACAGTAATGAAGAATTTTATTTTTCCCCAGGAAACCTGTATTATGCACACCCTGATACTCAAGATGAGAAAACCCATTGGAAGGTAAGAGAGTTACATGTTGATACAAACTTATGAAAAAAAGCAATTAAAATGAATGTGAATTTTAAAATGTTTCATAGAATCTAATACATCCTAAGATGTGATAATTATGAACAATACAGGTTTGTAATTCAGCTGATAAATAATATGAATATACTGATGAATGAATGATAATAAAATAATTACAGTATTTTGAAAATTTTCTGCATTCCAGAAAGTGAGTTTTGTTAATCACCATTTTAATAGTGATCATATGCTATTGAAAAAAAAAATGATCCTAGAGGAAGCCCAGGAAAGGAGGGCATCCACCAAAATCTACTGACAGTAGTAAACATTAGCAGTCTTACAGTATTCATGGATGCTCTTCATTTATAACAGGCTCTAATCAGAGTGATTTTGGGTTAAGGAAGAATAAAGAAGCAGAATCTATGCTTTGAAAAAGGAGTTCAAAAGCTTCAGTATAAAGTGGGGGGGTATCTATAAGCTAATGGTTCTCCAATGAGGAACATGAAATAACAGCTTGGATGCTAGACACTATTTCATTCACACATAAAAAGGTGTGTATATGTGTGTGTACTCTCTCTCTCTCTCTCTCTCTCTCTCTCTCTCTCTCTCTCTGTGTGTGTGTGTGTGTGTGTGTGTGTGTGTGTGTGTGTGTGTGTGTGTGTGTGAAGTCATTCTGTTGGGAGAGTGAAAAATCTGAAAATTAAATTTAGATGATCTGGTTACATTGAATGATAATTTCCGTTTCTGATGAGCTTAACCACTGGTAGTGTCCTGCAAATTAGTTGCAACATTTGAATTGCGTTTAAGACAGTATGACTCAAGTTTTTCAATCATATCTTTGTTCTTTGTAGCACTTTTTAAAGTCATAGGATCTTAATCCACCTGAAAAGTTCCTTTGTATTACATGTACTGTACATCATCTCTGGCATGGAGGCGGCTGCTGCTTTGCACGAGATTTTTCTCTTCTGTTCCACAATATCAACACTGGGTCTGAAATATCCTAAAATTCAGTATTCTGTTTATTTCAGCAGCACCCAATACACTCTTAAACATATCCTCTGGCCATTTAACTTCTACTAATAATTTATAATTTTGATTGAAGCATTTCATATGCTTTTTAAATGAATTTAGTCTTCTTGTAGAAATTCTGAATATTGTTGACTCATTCAGCACAGAGCCTGTATTTACATGCATTTGTATAACTCAGAAGTTCAAGAGTTTCCTATTCTAGGAAATTGTTTTTCTTGTCTGCTTTTCTCTTGTCTTCCAATCAGGTGTCATCCTCTCCTGTGCTCGATTACAGTAATCAATGACATATTTAACAGAAAGATGATTGGATGATTATTATGTGATTTTCTTTTTGTTCAACCTAGCAGGAAAAGTCAAGAAAAAGGTGACTTTATCTGAATCAAGCAATGTACTTCCTTAAATAATTGTTACACCGAGGAAGTCTTTGTTCATCAGTACTGCTTCAGTGACACAGTTGGAATCCAGTTCTTTACTAAGAGAGACAAAACTTTTTGCAGTGTTTAATTCTAATTTTTGTTTCTCCTGTTTATTTTCTCATACTTCCCTTTGTATCTTTTGTTGTATAGATTTAAAAGTTGAATAAGCATCATTCTGATATTCCTTAGCTTCTCATAACATTTGATCTTATCATAAAAAGTTTCCAATATATTAAATATATTTTGATTTAGAGCCTTGTGGGAAGTACGTCTTAATTTTAGAGTATAATTTAGAGTATACATTTAGAATAAAATATGACATATGCCAGCAACACTTTGTTTACATTATTTTAGCTTATAATATTTACACAACACTGTGAGATGAAGCATTATATTTTACACTTCTTATTTTCATATACTTATTTGTGTGCATTGCTGGAATGATGCGGGGGGCATTGTACAGTTAATGTGTGGAGAACTGAGGATAAGTTGTGAGAGTTGGTCCCCTACTCTGCCTTTTGGATCCTGGTGATTGAACTCGGGTAGATTGGTTTGGTGGAAAGTACCCATTAGTCACTCATGTATCTGCTGGTCTTTCTTACCCTGCATTGCAATTGATAAGATGATACTTAAGTATTATAAATACTTTTGAAATGTGTTTGGATTATTAAATGGCAAATTATTTAACAACAGATTTTCTAGGACTTCATCAATATAAAATCCTCTCATGAAATAAGACATTAGCCTTCAAAGAATTTTTTATAGGACCTGGAAAGATGTCTCAATGGTTGAGCATGTACTGATGACCTTACAGAGGATCCAACTTTGTTCTTAGTCCTTACTTTAACAGGTTCACAACTGACTTACATCAGTTCCATCATCCAACTCCGGTGATACAATACCTTTTAAGGTCCTCTGAACACAACTGCAATTATATTCATTTAACACACACACACACACACACACACACACACACACACACACACACACACACACAAATACTCACACACACGTAATTAAAGATAACAAAAATAAAAATTTATGGTGATATTTTATTTGTACTGAAATGTGATTTTATTTGTATGTTAATAAATAAAGTTGCCTGGGGGTCAGAGCTAATAGCAAGCCATAGCAGAGCTGGGCATTGGTGGCACACGCCTTTAATCCCAGAACTTGGTAGGCAGAGCTAGGTAGATCTCTGTGTGTTCAAGGATACAGCCAGCATTGGAGACACATGCTCTAATGAGTGTCTGGAGGTCTGTACAGACAGGCAGTGACGAGGCAGTCATGTGGTTGGGTTTACAACCAATGAGAAGGCAGAACAGAAAGTCTATGTAAAGACAGACAGGAAGTAGGTCTCTTTCGGAGACGTCTGTTGGCTGAAGAGGCTAGCTGCAGCAGGCAGGTAAGGCTCTTAGCTCTGATCTCTTGGCTTTCTTCTTTGCATTGGTTCTGTGTTTCTTATTTTATAAGACAGTCAGTTACATCTACGAAAATTTCCAAAACACAAATATTTCCTAAATTATACAGTATTTAACCTTAATAAAATATTCCACAAGGTTTTTTTTCAATAGCAATAATGATTTGCAAATCCAACAGAGAAAGAACTTGACTTTTACTTAAATGAGTAAATTTTAATGACTCTCAGATTTTAAATTTTAAATTCATTGGTTACTACCAATGCCAATCAACTAAATCCTGATAATACACAAAATTATTCCCAGATTTCTCTTTTTAACTGAACTGCCAGTACAAAATATTGTGTGTTTTCATTTATTAAAACCTCAAAATAGATATATTAACAACTAATTTACTTTATTTTCATGTCAATTCTCTGGAATGTTTTTGAAATATATATACTAATATTTATTTATAATAAATAATTATATAATCAATTATTTATTCTTGTCTCTTCTTAGCTGGCTTCATTTACAATTGAACTTACTTGTTTTCTGTCATCAGTTAAAATCCCCTTTAATTGCACAGTGACTGGGGAAGGAGAGAGCAGAGTGTCTCATAAACTAATTAAATGATTAATGCAATATGCTTGAAAGAATATTAGCTGCTTAAAAACATAATTCAGCAAGAATACAGCCTTCACATGAATTAGTCTACAGTGATATTCCATCAGAGTAAACAGCACTCACCAATTATGTAAGAAAAAATGTTTACTCCACTCAATGCATCCTGAAGAATATATTCTATGATGAGAATTATCCAAGTTTGTTATTAAAATACCAAAGTATTAACAACTCTGTCACAACTAAAAAGGAACCTGTAAACAGACTTGTAAACTAAAGCAAAAGCAGAAACTTTTGGCTACAGGTTTTTGAATTTTTCCTTTTAGACTATAAATATATCATTCCCCTTTCCTTTTCCTCCCTCCAAAGCCTCCCACACTCCCTTCCTTATGATCTTTCACACTTGTGGCCTCTTTCTCCATTGATTGTTGCTAACCCCCCAATATACACATAATTTCTCCTGCCCTCAACATTTCTTAGTTGCCTATAGTTCTTTGTGTAGGGTTGACATCTTGTGGACTTTTTCCTGTTCACATGTGTGGCTATTTTCTTGTCCATGTTCTAAATTCACTCCACAGGAAGGAAAATCATACTTGACTATAATGTTTAATGTGCATAGAACTTAAATTTTCCTCTAAGAAAAAATTAACCCGATTTTTGCTATTTTTCTAGCAAATTCAATGACATTTTAGAGTAGGTGTGAAATACATAAGTTATGTTGTCACATTTCACCCCAGATTTATTAGTTATGTGTGTTTTTAAATGCTAAAGTACCAAAAGTTATGGTCTGTTTGCACCACGTATTGTGTACAATTTGTGTAAACTGCTTTGGATGTGACAAAATACACAAGAGAAGCAATTTGAAAGGAAGAAAAATTGATTTATACTCAATTTCAGTTTCATTCCCAACTGACTTCATTCTCTTCAGGACTGTGGCAAGGCAGATCTGGAGTGTGTGGTAGAAGGGCCTATTTGCTTCAGTTATGCCAGGGAAGAGTGAGAGGAGACAGACAGACAGACAGACAGATGACAGAGAGAAACATTCACAGGGGGTGGGGGGACAGACAGAAGCAAAGTAAGAAACAGACAGGAAGAGTACAGGAATCCAGCCTGGGACCCACAGTAACATGTTTCCTCCCACTAGGGCTCACCTTGGAAAGGTTGCATCACCTCCTAGCACCCTTGTACATTGGTGAACAAACACCTTGGCTGATGGCCTTTGGGGGACATTTCAGATTCAAACTATAACACCACACAAAGCAGAGGTGAAAATCATCTCAGGAATGTCAGATGGACAGAAAATGGCATCATGATAAATTTACCGAACAATAAATTTTAAAATGTAAATTCCATAGGTAATTTAGAATTATGTAATAGAAATAGTAAACAAAAAATAAATTTTGTCATGAAATCTTTTCCTATTATCAATCACTTAACATTCTCTAGGAAACAAATACTTTATTTTAATCTTTAGGAACAATTTAATTTTAATACTTACTCATGTGTTATGTGAGATAGCAGGAAAAAATAA